CTGATAGAGATACAAAACTTTCCCCAGTTGTGTGTTTTTGGACGAGCTGTAAAAGATTTTATCCCTATACTACCCAGCTGCTACAACCCTCTCTAAAGGAAACTGCTCTGTGGAACTGACATGTTAAAACAGAAGAATGCCTCAGAGAGTATACACAGCATCTGCCACCACTGAAGGTTGCTGACTTAGTCAGAATTCAGAATCAGACTGGCCACCATCCTTTAAAGTGAGACAAAACAGGATGGGTCATAGAAGTACATCAATTCGACCAATATGCCATCCACGTTGCTGGGTCTGGAGGGATAATACTGCATGACAGGAAGTTTTTCTATTGTTATACTCCAGTATATGAACCTCCAGTATGGTGGACTGATCTACAGAGCGCACACAGACCTAATGTACTCCAGTTGAATGTTCCACTAATGTGGACAAAAACTGAACTCACACTGTCCCATTCACTGGTCTCACCAATGTCAACAAGAATAACTCACCAGTACGTGCAGTCCCTGTCTGGGGCTATTGATCACCTGGAATATGACAATGGTCATGAAATACCATGTCCAGTGAGTTCTCTATGTGCATCACATCCATTTATGATTATCATCAACCACAGTTGATCCAATGCCTCAGGAACAGCCACCCAGTCCTCCAGCAATGCAACAGCCAGCAACGCCCATACCTACACCTGCAATTCTGTGATATTCAATGTGACCTAGTGTGAAACCAAAGTGGTTACATGATTATGTGCAGCTAGCAGCTAGTAATGGGGCAGGACAACTGAAAACAATGTTCATTATTGGATACATGGGTGACTTTATTGAATACATGACCATAGTTCACTATTCATTTTAAAATAGGTGTTTCACTTAATGTTGAACACTTACTGGTTATTTAAAAGCAAACCACATTTTTTGTTTTGTTTTGTGTTAATATAAAAAGAAAAATTAAGTTCATACCTTAATTATGATGGATACACAAACAGTTGTCAGGAAGTTTCAACATTAACATATCAGCTATTGTTGATTCTTTGGAAGAACTTACCACTGACTTGGGAGGGGTTAGAGGAATATCTATGTGTAACCTCACAATGTATAGTAATGTTAATTACAATTTCTTTATACTATATTTTCAGATGTCCATCATTCGTAATTTCATATATATATATATATATATATATATATATATATATATCAGGTCATCCCATAAGTTCTGTCCGAATTTTAACTTTTTGTTAAAATGAACGAAATTTAAAGAGTATTTTATAATGTCTAATGGAGCTGAACATTATTTTTATGTTTAGATGCATTTAAACTGATCAAATTTTATTTCAGAGAACAATAAAATTAAATTTTGTTTGATTAAAACCCTGCTAACATGGAAGTACCCAAGAATCATTTGAGGCACATAATGCTTTATAAGCTCAAGAAAGGAAACTCAGCAGCTGAAGCGGCTAGAAACATTTACTCAGTTTATGGAGAGGAATGTGTGAATGAAAGAACTTGCAGAAGACGGTTTGCAAAATTCAGAGGTGGAGATTTCACCCTTGAAGATGAAGATCGAACTGGACGTCCAGTTGAGTTTGATGAAAAGCTTCTTGAAGCAGCCCTTGAAGAAAATCTTGATTTATCAGTTGAGTAATTGGCAGTGGTTCTCAGTTCAAACCATACAACTGTTCATCATCTTCAACAACTTGGAAAAGTTCCTAAACTTGGAAAATGGGTGCCTCATGAATTGTCTGAAAACAACCTCAAATCCTGAGTTGACATCTGCTCTTCTTTCCATTCTCGCCAACTTGTTTCACCTTTTTTGGATAGACTTGTGACTGGTAATGAAAAATGGATCTTTTATTGAAATGTTAAGCATCATAGACAGTGGCTTGGTAAAGGGGAAGGACCCCAGCCACAGCCAAGAAGGGAACTTCATGGGCAAAAGGTTCTTCTTTCAATCTGGTGGGATCGCCAAGGAATAATCCACTTTGAATTCTTACCACCTAATGCAACAATTAATGCTCAAATATACTGTCAGCAATTAGAGCATTTGAACCAAGCTTTGAGGAAAAAAAGACCTGCTCTAGTGAATCGAAAAGAGGTGATGTTTCATCAGGACAATGCACGGCCCCACACAGCAAAAATCACGTCACAAAAAAACGAAGAACTTGGTTGGGAGTAATTCCTCATCCACCTTATTCTCCTGATCTTGCTCCTTCAGACTACCATTTGTTTTGTAGCTTACAGAATCATTTGGAAGAAACAGCTTTTGTAACACAGGAAGAGGTTAAAACTGACATTTGTGAGTTCTTCGAATCAAAGCCAAAAGAATTTTACAGTAATGGAATTAGTAAGCTTGTTAATAGATGGAAGGAAGTCACAGATAATCAGGAAAATACATTGTTAATTGAATCTGTAAGTAAATGTAACAGTTGGTCACTTGTTTTCTTTATTCAAAATTTGGACAGAACTTATGGGATGACCTGATACATATATATATATATATATATATATATATAGGCCAGTTGACTGTATGTGTGTGTGTCTGGCTGAAACCAAAAAACTACAATAGTTCACGACAAAGTAAATATGTATACAGACTCATTATCACCCAAACCAGCTTTTTGTAAAAAAAAATTATTATCATATGATTTGTATTTACAAAGATATTTTCAAATTAAAATGCATAAGAATGCATTCAAAATTCTCAGAATTAAAAAGTAAAAACAAACAGTAATAATTCTTATTCCAGATTAGTGATTATTGTTCATTTTTACTTTTTTATTCTGCTAAACGCTATACAAGTATGTATTTTTTAAAATTTCTATTCTCTTGAATTTATTTTCACATTTATAGTAAATAAAAGCATAACTTTAAAAAAAATGAATATTAAAACAAAGTAAATTTAAAAGAAGAAGAATATTATATACAATTATTTGACAAAATGTTTAATATTTATTTATTCAAATATTGGAGTGTGTGTATTATTGATTTATTAATATCTTTCGGTCATCAGATGCAAAATAATTTTTTATTCAATCTTTAAAAAATAAACTTCACTGTTTTTTTGGTTTGTAACTAAGATAAAAAAAATCATTTTCAGTTAAGTTTTATTAAAACTAAAAACTATAGTGAGCCTTATTTTTTCTAAAATTAATTTAAATAAAATATAGTTAATTCATAAAACAAATATTCAACACAACTAATGTTGACCATAAGTTATGTCTGTCTCTGCTAATTTTTATTTAACTAAAGTTTTTTCTTTTCAAATACAAATATTACTTGAAATTTAAACAATCACTTTTCAAATCTAAATTCTCAATGTATCTTGCTTCTACTCTTAAAAATAGTAATTAATGTTTAAAAGTAAAACTTTAATTACTTAAAACAATCTAAATTCCCCTCCAAAATAAATAGTAAATAATCATTTTCAAAGAAGTAAGCCTCACTATAGTTTTTGCTTGAAAAAATGATTAAATTAAATGTTTAAATATATCTTAATTTAAGTTTAACATTTTTATTAATAATAATTTGAAAAAGGTTAATGAACTTTTATCTAAGTTTGATTTGTTTGAAAACAACATTAACAGAATATTTATATTAGTATTTAAATCGAAAATAAAGCATCTTTTTCAATAAAAATATGAGGGATGCTCAGCCCCTTAAAATCCCACCCCAAGCATGATAATTATAATGTGGTATTTTCTTAAATGTATTTATTTTGTAACAAACCCCCACAAAAAATGAAATTTATTAGAGATTGAATAAAAAAATTATTTTCCATAAGATGGCTGAAAAATATCAATAAATTGTCAATAATAAACTATTATTCAGAGATCAATGCTGGGTATCTTCATTAGTAAAGAATAAACAAAACAGTATTTTTTAACTCATTTATATAACTGTTCTTTCTGTTGCCATTTTCTTTAATATTTCCATGTTGCTTACTCACTTCATCCATGGAAATTTCAGTTTCCTTCTGTAGAACCACATTCATGAAGAGATTGTCCAGCATTCACTGTCAAGTAAGAGGATGGATATCACATAGCAACCCAGCATGCTTTTCTTTGTTTCTAACAAAATTTTTCTGTTTCTCAGTACTTTGCTTAAATTTTGGAATGCTTCTTTCAATGTGTATTCAGATTTCAATGTTGCATTTTCCATCCTCTGTTTAAACACTTCCCATATATTTAAACTTTTGCACCTGCTTGATGTTGACTTTGTCAATTTGTAACTCACATCTTAAATTTTTCTCTTTTGCTGATGACCAGAATTTCTGTCTTCTTGCAGTTGTGGTTTAGTCCTTTTTTCTTGCTTTCCTCTACTACTCTGTCTATTAGGTCTTGTAGCTTTTCCTTTCTGATTGGCCTATCTTATATTGTTAAGATTATGCCCACTAATAATAAATCCTTCAGTTTTCTTAGAATAACATTGCAGTAGAGGTTGAATCAATCTGGGGAGAAGACACATCCTTGTCTCATAAGTTCTGCATTATTCTAACATTTTTTCAAAATAGATCTAGTTTTTCTAGTAGTTCAAATAGATCTTTGTGCCATATCTTGTTAAATATAAAACGTAAATGCACATCCTTTCTGCTCATTTTGATATTATTCTAATCATGAATATCACATTTCTTGTCCTTGACAAAGCAGCACTGTTCTTATTCTTTTTTCAGTCTAATTCAGCTTTGCACTTTATTCATCAGAATTTGAATCATTAGTTTGGTTATGTGACTCATTAAACTAATTGTCTGATCATTTGCAACTAATCTCTTGGGTAATAAAAAAGGATTTATTGAGGTCCAAAATATATCTATAAGATTGAAAATACAGAAATATTTACAAATATAATTACAAACTAAAATACAAAAAATCTAATTGCAGATATCAAAAGAGCCAACTTCCCACATAGAAGAAATGAAAACAATTGAAGGCACATTTTGAAATCTTATATTTCTCTCATTGATATATATATATATTGATGTGTTCTGTTTTCTAACCATATTTACAATTTTTAAGGGGATAATCGTTTCACCTCATGTTGTTTTGGGTTATCTGAAATGTCTGTAAATCTGACTGATGCTCTTGAGAGATAAGTTTGAATGGATTTATAAACAACAAGTACAGCACCCTGAAATACATAAAAGAATATCAACATGAAAATGAGAGAATAATCTAAAATTCATATGAAAATTAAATATCTTCATCTTTAAATACTGAAATAGTTATCAACATTATTTTGCTACCTGCCATTTGTGATGATTACTCACTTAAATTCTTATACAAATGTTTATATAACGTCATATAAAGTAAATGAATTATTCACTTTAAGAAAGTTTGAACAAATCTTCATACAAACTGTTTAATAAATCATTATAAAAACTTTAAGATTATTTAAATTTTATTTTAAAATAAATCTGATTTTATAAGAAATTATTTCTTTTTGGATCAATTTAATATTTCAGTTTAGACAGAATCTTTTTCTTTTATGGAACAATAAATTTTTTATCTAATAACAAAGATCATCAGAATATTTATCAATTTAACAAAAAACAAAAACCAAATTAAAGTCCTTTTTTTGTATCAAATACTTCTAAAACCTTGTAGTTAAAATAATCAAATATTACATGGGAATGAAACTAATAAACAGACTTCTTACAAATAATCAGCCATTTTCTTTTGATGAATCCATACTTTTCTTTACATAAAAATATATTAACAATATTTCTTATATTTAACGATACTAGTCTGTCTTTCATGAGCCTATTCATTCATCCCACAAATAAGTAGCAAAAAAAAAGAAAAAAAAACATTCATGTTAAAACTAATTTTAAAAATATTAAAATATCTTACACATTTTCTATGAAAATTTGTTATTTTAGCAACAACACTTTGCATATTATTTTACAAAAAGATTTTCTTTTTGTTTCTTTAAAATGTTGAAATACAAATTTGAACTGTAGTTTAAATTTACATAACTTCTCATATAATTATAGTAGCAAATCAATTTTAAGATAGCTCTTGAATCATTTTTCTTTAAAAAATTAATGCCAGATAGATTTAGATTATATAGATTTGGCTTTATCAAAAGATTAAAAAAAGCTACAATCCAAATTTCCTCCATACCATGAAAGTCAACAGTTTTTCTACATCTAAACCATTTCCAAAGCAAATTTTGCAAAATAGAGAAAAAAATAATTATTAACATAATGCAGTCACAAATGTAATTTGAAGTTTTACAAATTTTACGCTTTTCTAATAGCATATAATTTTCAAAGTCATTCTAATATTTGTAAAGAATATGTTTGTAACAGAATTATATTTATTTAATAGGAAAACATTTGATTATATACTGCAGGAAGCTGATAGTACAGAATAGTAATATTTGCAAAATTTCAAACCTGTCTGTCCCTGCAGTATATAAATAAATAATTATTTCTTAAAGCAATAATATAAGCATTAACCCTATTTTGGACATGCAAAAGTCTCAAGAAAAATCAATTGGAAATTTTAAGTGTTTTGTTGGATATTATTGCAGTTTGATCTGTAAACAGTGTAGCTATATATAAAAAGAAATATAGCAAAAAAATAAGACTGCTTTGATGACAATAAGGTCAAAAGTTAACTGAGACAAGTTTTAATTTTAAAAATTGAAAATAAGAATTTGATACAAACAGATGTAGACATAAAAGCTGCAATTACAAAGCATGACCATGCAAAACCAATTTTCTCCTTAATTGCAGATCCAGCTGTTGGACCCAGGAAAGCTCTGAAGAAAAAAAAGTAATAACTAAAGAATTCATAAATCAATTTCTATAAAGCTTGAATAGATTAATAATATACTGTTCATATAGAAACAAAAAATATATAAAATCCTTAAATTTTGTACAAAAATATTTTATAACTATTTTTGTTCAATATCCATGTTTTTTCTGAGAATTGAAGATTTTGTCAACAGTCAGTATTTTCTAAGAGGCTATCTTCATTATTACTGTTCTACCATCAGGTTAAGTAAATTTTTTGGTTAATCCTCTATAATCTTTATTATTCTGTACAGGTAATTTCTTACAGGGACTGTTTTTAATTCTCAGTTTATTCCACTCTCCCCCTCACTAATATAAAATGACTGGGTCTTATAGCTTTGGTTGACAACTGGTCTAGAAGAAGGACAACTCTGAATTCAAAAACCCCACTGACATTGCCAATTCCAGGTTGGTGAGGCTAAACTGCAACTTTTTCATTTCTCTCTTCCACAACATAAGTAATTTCTAATTTATTCAATATCAATAAATTGGTTAAAGAAAGATTTTTAACAGTTAAAACACCTGACAATTCTAATTTCAGTACCTTTGAAAAACAACTAAAACAGATATGTACAAAAAATCCCTTAAATATCTATAAATAGCCATAAAATACATGTACAGAAATACAAATAGAATTCGGAGGGGGGACTGATATCAGTTTGAAAACTTTCAAGGAAATCTGAAAATTTAGATTTAACAATATAAATTTTGACTAACTTGAGATATCAGTGAAATAAGGAATAATTAATGTGTTAAAGATTTAATGAACTGAGCCAAAAAAAAAAAATAATTCAAAATATTTTTAATTATCTCATAAAAATTTGTTGTTATAATTCTATTCCAAATAAAAATAGCAAATATACATAAAAAATATGGAAATTTGGCCATATTTGAAAGCCATATTTGAAAGATTTTTATTTCTCAGGTGGGAATTTAGAATAAAAAATCAGGTCATAATTCCAAAGTCCATAAATCAATCTCACAAGTCCAAAGTCAAAACTACCAGGAGCATAAATCAAAAGGCATCATAAAACCAGATCAACAACTTGCAATGTACAACTACAGGGTCAAAAACAAGTAAACATGAACCTCAACATACAACTACTGTCTACACCTTTGAAGAACAGATAGTGCTCCTGTCATCCAAACTAGCATCCTTTTATTGGAGTAAGAAAGGTTGTGTTTGTTTAAGACTGGTAGGCAAGCACAAAAATTACCATATTTTGAGGCTGACTAAAGTAGACTTAATCTTGACTCTGATTTTCGTTTTTGACAAACACATAGAAGACAAATTCTTTTTCAAGGTAAGACTTTGTTTCCTTCTTCATCAACATGAAACATGACTTTAAAAATTAGTATGTTCTAATTTAACCACAAAAGTATTAAAATAAGAAAATACTGTAAATAAAAAAAAACAAAACAAATTTATTGATATTTAGTTTGGTTCAAAACCTACAAACTTCTCATTGCTTTCACTATTATTTGGAAACAAATCAGGTATTTCATCATTGGATCCAATATTATAATTAAAAGATAATGTTATCCTTGTTCCAATCTACTGCATTACTGGTATCACATTGCTTAAATGACTTTATGGTACTTTGTCTTTTGGTGATGCATCCAACTTGACAGTGAGCATGTATCAAACTACCAAGCATCCAATGAAAATTGAAATACTAATTAATTGGTCAAGTGCATTGCAAATCTGAAATTCTTACAATTGCTATAAATAACACATTCAAATTAACTGATCTATGTATGCCTATTTAGATATATTTAAATACACATTTGGTGTATAGAACACAAGCAGATTTTGACAAATTTGGGGATAAAAAATGTAAATTATACACTGAAAGATATGGTACACAAGATTTTGTACACACTACTTATTAAGTTAAAATGTATTTCAGGGTGAGAATTTTAAAAAGAAAACAGTATTAATATGAATGATTAGCTTTTGTCAGTTTAATTAGTTTTTCTTCATTTCAAAAACAAAGAGAAGAAAACAAGGAGAGATATTGCCTTGTTTTTATCTCTGGTCTTAAAATAGTTTTGGGTCACACATATATAGAATATTCATCCATTCCAGATTTTCCCTCTCCTAAGAACAAGAAATCTTTGATTAAATCTTTATTTAGTAAGTAAAAATTTTTAAATTGTTTGAAAAATTGATGTTATTACATATTTATTCAAATGTTTTGAAACTTACCCAAAAGAAAAACAAGAGTTGAATAAACCAGAGACCAAACCAAAAGTGTTAATGTCTTCTGGTAATCCTGATTGCCTGAAATTCAGGTAAAAAATAATTAGAATTGAAAGTACAAAAAAAATCAACCAAATTTTAATCACTGGTTGTCTAGGTCTAAATTTTTTAAAACAAGTTCATACAATCAATATAAATTGATTGGCAATATTTAAGTAATTTTGAAATAGCATTATCTCATTAAATATAAAAAACTTTATAATCTTCATTTGAAATGAGAATATAAACAGGTTTTCAATTTCAAATAAAAGGTAATCAGAATTTTTCTAGCAATTAGACTGATTCTAATTGATACACATTGAAAGAAAGAAGAAATATAGTTAATTCCCCCAAGTTTTCAAAATTCCATTGGTTTTCAGTTTGCTGTCATCAGATATAAATTATTAGAAAAAGAAAAAAATATGGTATGAAAACTTACAAGGCAATTTGCATCATGGCACTGAAAATGGGGATAAGCATGCAGCCAACAAATAAACCTCCAAATCCTAAACTGACAGAAAAACTCCACAATTTTCTGCAAAGAGAACAAAAAACAATTCAAAAGTATTCTTGCAGAGACTGAGTTTTATAGTTCAGAAAAAATAGTTTTACTTTAAAATTCAAGCATTATCAAATAACTGTTAGCAGATAGTAACCATTTTACAGTTTTGTATTTTCAAAAATCTAAATGATAGCAAACATGTTATGCAATGTGTTTTCCAAGTTCACTTAATATTTGGTGATTTTTAAAAAATAGTATTTTTATTTGATCATAAAAGCTGTTTCTGTGTATTCTGATTAGAATTGCTAATTAAACAATTTAATCTTTTGTAATATTTGAAAACTTTGTAGCTAGTGTGAAATAATAACTCCCTTCAAATTCAAAGGATTGAAGAAAATGATGGAAATAAATTCACAAGCCTATGTGAAATTGTTTTGAACCAATGAAAAATTTGTTTTTACAGAAAGTGGCCATTGAGTTTCTTAACTCAAAAGAGAGAAAAGAAAGTAGTGAGCGTATGCAAAATTCTTTTTGATGAGACAAAAAGTTAAATTAATAAGAGTGTCTGAAGCCATTTGAAAGGTTTTGTTTCAGTTCCTCACAACCAACGACCATATTTGCCAATTACATTATCGGCTTTTAACCAAGCACATGGCACTTCAAAGAATTTTCTCTCAGCACTCCAAGAAAGCTAAGTATTTCAAACTATCTCTTTTCATCTACTTTTGAAAGTATACAACCATATATTCCTTTGGTGCGCAACAAACTGTTTTACCTTTGTCTTAAACATTTTTTAATATTATTTGGTGTCAGATCATTCAATCTATCATATGAACATTCCTTTTCATGACAATTCATTAAAACTATGGACTTTAAGAATTCTGATTTATTTTCCTGAAATGAGTGACTGACACACTTCAAGCATGTAAATTCATAAATAAATTCCTTATCTTGTTTTTTTGTTAAAATTACCTGTGTGTTTACTTGTCATTATCATCCTCCATTAATCTTCTTGTCATGGGTAAATCAATTGTTCATTCTAACTCCTAAGCTCCATGTCACTATAACCGATTACCCTTTTGCATTCAGCAAAAAAGTGATTCGCAGTAGTTCATATTTTCAGACAGCTTTTATGACTCATATTTCAGGTAAACTGTGTATTCCATGATAAAAAAATGATTCCAAATTTTATTTGATGAATTCTTTCATCTTGATAAAAAGTATTGTATGGAGTAAAAGAAATAATAGTTTGAAAGTGAAGAGAAAATGAAAAGCCTGGAGAATGGATCACATGTACAAGAAAACTTTTCATCCCAGTTTTTGATGCATTTGCATGAAGGCACCTGCTGTCATTCAGTAAAATCATTGCAAAGGAAATCTACCATTCAAATAAGCCAACTATCTATTCTAGTGTTTGCTCAGTATCAGTTTGTGTTTGCACTAACAATTTTTAATAAAATTGGTTATGAATCCTAAATTTTTTTCTGTGTTAAGTAAAAAAAAAAGAAAAGTTTATCTCTGTTTATATAAAACCTACTCTTCTACATTCTGAATTTTGCTTAAGGCTCTCTAAACAACATATTACAGTTGACTGATTGTAAAAGCAGTAAATAGCTAACTTCAATAACACTTCTAAGATTTCTAAAACATTGTGTAAAATATGGTACAAGGAGCATCAACCTAATTAAAAAAAAAAAAGGGAAAAATAGAAACAAATGTAATTAAATGTTGTTAATGGCATAATTGTCATTTGTCATTAGAAACTACAATAGCCAAATAGTAATTATTACATTTTTCATTGATAAAATTCTTTTCTTTCTTAATGAAATGCAAACTGAAAACCTGAATTATTTTCTTTAGTTCCGAACCCCACAGCACTGAGAAAATATTCTAATGATCAAAATAAATATGAAAACATATGCTAAGTCTGATGAGAAGGAAGAATAAGGTGAAAATTTGAAGGTGTCTAGTGAGTATAAAGAATAAATTAAATTATCTCTTGGGTTTTGTTCTGTTCAGTGACACCTTCCATTTTTATGCTAGAGAATAACACCAATTCTACTCATCAATGCCACACATATCTGGTGTAATGCACCACTGATATTGACAGTTTTGTATGATAAAAATCTATAGTGATGTTTTTACCAGAATCGAGCAGCATAGTGGTTAACATCTGTTATATTCTACCAGATGCATTATAACATTTTCTGCCCTTGTTTTGTTACTGAAAGAGTGTGATAATCATTTTTTTCTCCCCCAAGCAAGGCAGTAACGCCACTAAAACACAAGGGGTTACAAGTTGTGGAAAAATTAGGAACAGAAACAATAATAATGAGCAAAAAGAGAAGAGAGTAATCAGAAGAACAGTAGATAGCTTATTAAAATTGCATTTAAATTTTTGCAGGTTAAAGTTGGCTGGAAAGCATGGAGGCAGAAGGGAGTTTCACAAGCAAGAAGTGTGAGAGAAGAAACTGTGAGCATAGAATTTATGGTTATATTTAACCAACTTAACTGTAAATTGATGAGATCTTGATGTTAGTCTCATGCAGTGCTTAAATTCAAAAACTCTAGGTACCATGGTGAAGAGCTCATCTGAACAATTACCACGAAAGTATTTATAAAAAGACAGAGAGGAAACCTTAAAGTGTTGGGAAAGTGACTGGAGCCAAGTAGCCAGAAGATGGACCAATAATATTGCTGATTCTTCTTTGGATTTTATCAAGGAACTTAAGGTAAATAGTAGGGGCACTGGACCTTATGTGGCAGCAATATTCCAAGCCTGGGTAAATGGTAGACTTATAGATATGTAAGATAGATTCTGGAGAGAAAAATTGTCTCACCCGATATAAGGAACTGACTTTCTTAGCAGCTGACTTAGCAATGGATTCAATATAGTCTTTCCACTTCATATCAACAGAGAACATAAGCATGAGAAAGTGCAATGAATCACTTTCCTGGAGGTTAGAATGCTAATCAAATGATTAATAGAGAGAAGATTAATCTTGGAGGCATTAAAATGAACAAGCCATCTTTTGCCTCAGTTAATGATGTACTTGAGATTGTTTTGGATATCGGTTGCTATTTTGACCTTGTCAGACTGACAAACCTTAATATTGAGGCAGGAGTAAATTGTTGTGTCATCAACATAGACACCAAGTTGAGATTTGATGTCATCAGGAAGGTCATTAATGAAAATTAAAGACAGTAGGTTCAAGGATGGCGTCCTGAGGGGACACCTGCATTATTATGAAAGGATCTAGATGAATGGCTGTTCAGGATAACTTTCATGATTTGATAGGAAAGACTGGATCAGTTAAAAAAAGTATCCAGAGACATTGTAACTTTTCAACTTGTGGAGAAAATCTGAATGCAATATTCTGTCAAAGGCTTTCGTGATATCCAATGATAACGCCTGGGATTCACCATTTTTATCTAGAGCACAACACCCTTTTCCCACAATTATCAGTACATCAGCAGTTGACCTGGAGAAAGAAAGCCATATTGCTTGTCTGAGAAATGAGAGATGGTGAACCAAATTAGCTTTGATCAGGGCCTGTAAGAGTTTCCCAAAAAGAGGTAGAAGGCTAATAGGCCAATAGTTGAAAGGGTTGGATGCTCATCAGAGTTCTTAAAAACTGGAACAACAAATGATGACTGTTCCAAGGATGCCATCAGGTCCACATGCTTTGTGGGGATCTAGGTTAGAGATTATAGCAGAAGCCATAAAAGGGGTTATATGCATATCACTCAAGAGAGACTCAGTTCTAGGAAGGAAATTAGGTAATGATATTCCGGATGAGTCAGAGTAGAGTTTGAGGAGAATTTACGAGCAAAGCATTCAGCTTTATCAGTGGAGGATGCTAACACTTTATATTGGTTGAAGAGGGAAGGAACAGAGACCTTACACTTATTTAATGCCATATTACCAAGCTGTCAGTAATCATGGGAGCCAAAGTTTTAGAGTTTGTGGTGCTTCATTCTCTTGGCAAACAGGAATTTAGTGTCCTTAAGGACTTGCTTACATTTATTGCAAGCAGAAACCAATAGGCATCTGTTGTGATGAGAGCCATCACGGTGGTATAGACAAAAATAGTGGTTCCTGTGTGATATAGTGGCTGAGCATGCCAGTGTAAACCATGGAGAGCTTTATTCTTAGAAGGAACTTCAGTGGCACATTTTTCAATTGGGAGTTTGTCTGTCCAAGAGGTGTCATGAAGAAAATCACAGATTGAGTCCTGATCAGCATGATGGTAACAGAAAGAGGTCTTGTGGATGGGGGGGGTCTGTTTAATAGAAGACTGGAATGAAATATTAATAGCTATCACAGAATGGTCAGAATTACCAAGACCTCAGTGTTGTGAAGCTTGGAAAGTGTGAGGGGAGGAGGTAAGAAATAAATCAAGTAGAGAAACATGTTGCACAGTTTTTCCAGGGAAACATGTAGTGAAATCAATCATTCGAGTCAGGGACTGGGCAATGGAAAAATTTAATATCTGAACACTGGCAACATCAATACATTTACAATGTTTAAATCATGTGTTGTGGAGAGCATTAAAGTCATTGAACACAAAGATGTTCACAGATGGATGGGGAGAAAGTGCCTTTTATATATTGTCAGCAATTATGTCTAATATACTGCAGTCCTGGGAAGAGGAGGAGTGATAGAGATAGCTAACAGAGTTTAGTAACGAAAGATGGAAGGAGTAATTCCTGGCTATTGGAAGATTATCCCAGATGTAAATACCAATGCGATGCATGGGAATCTTTTTTGGCAAAGGGTAAGATAGCCTGGAACCAAGAATTTATTGGTTGCAATGGAAGAAGTTAGTTTCACAGAGGGCAAAGATATGTGGTGACCATTCCAAAAGGAAAGATTCTACGCTGCAGAGGTTGGAACAGATACCATGAATATTAGTTAAAGAAAAGCAGAGGTGGTGGGGTAGATGGTTTTTTTGCTTACTGGTTTAGTTGTATTTCTTTTTGTTGTGTTTACCATGAGATTTGTTTTGAGGAGAGAGAGAAAAGACCACCATAATTGTCACTATCTGTCGTCAATGGTAATACAAACTAGCTACAGCATAACTGAGAACAGAGCATAGTATGGCCTCAGGGTTGCCCACTGGAAATACATGCAGGGACACCTACCCATGTGCAACATGACACTACAGTTACTCCGATATCATGTGACTTGATCAGAGCAGCCTCTTGAAGCACTACCAAAGGGTTTGGACTCCTAATGAACAGTCGGAAGCATCAGCCAGCAAGCTGCCAACTCAGTACCCTCACAATTGAAAGTCACAGCCACTGGCTAGTCTGATCACCAAAAAGTTAAGACAGTTAAATCACTGCAGCCCTGATAGAAGAGAAAAAAAAGAACCAGTAAACAATATCCTGAACAGGAAACTATGGATGAACCTCTACTCCTATTCAATAAATACAGAAGGAGTTCAGGCCAGACAATAGGTGAGACTATTTACTCCTATTAACCTGTTTAAAAAAAAAAAAAGAAAAAAAAAAAAAAAAAAAAAAAAAAAAAAAAGTACAAAATATGAAAAGAATAAATTATCACTTAGTTCTGATGTCCAAGAGGGCTGAAGCAATAGTTTAATAATTAATAGAAATGGAGAAAAGAAAATACAAGAATGAAGGAGAAGTGAAAACAGAAACAAAACAAGAAATTAAATTAAAAATTTTACAAACAGCAAAATGGCCTGATCATAAATGAGAAGTAAGTTACTTACAGGAGACAATTCAATCACTTCTTCCCAATATTTAAATTGGACAGAGCTGGCTGACTTAATTTCCCTAGTGCTTTGGTACAATTACAGTGACTTTGAAGTGAATTTTTTGATTTCCATTGCCGAAAGCTCACTAGATATAGGTGGTGATGGTGTGTGTGTGTGTGTGTGTGTGTGTGGTGGAGGGTGAAAGGTCAATTTTTTTAATCTACCTACTTTTCTTTTTTTTTTTTTGTTTTTTCAAAGGAAGTTTTTCCCAGATACCAAGAACAACCAATCAGCCACAAACTAACAGCAAACTTGAAATAATATATATATATATATATATATATATAATATATATATGGACACACAATTGAGCGAAGCAAATTAAAATGCAAGTTTATTAAGTTTTATCTTAAGTCCTAATATCCAGTTTGTTGGAAAAACGTTAAGCCAAAATTTTCATTCAGTTTACAACTCAAGAATAGACTCCCATTAAAAAGTAATACTGAGAATTAACAATAAATTAATGTGCAAGCACTTTATACAGATATATATATATTGTTACGAACTTGTAGCATATAGATGAACCATGGGTTTTAAAAAAAAGGAAAACGTGGGATCTTTTCTCGGTCTTCACTCAGAAATGGAAGCGACACAAGGGAATCAACGAAGAACAGACACAAGACGATGGCTTTCAAAATTAAACATTTATTTATAAATATATATAAAGAAATAAAGAAAGAAGAAAAAAAACATTCATTTAACAAAGGGGTAGGGGATCATTAAAGAATAGAAGGCGCGAGCGAATACATACATATATGAAAACAGATCAAGCCAAATGAATCAACTTATCTTGCAGTCGGGTTGATATCTTCACATAAAGTTTTGATTCGCCAAAGCGAGAGTTCTGATGATAAAACAATATCTTGGCCGGCCGACAATGATCCTGGATTCCTCTTCCTTTCACAAGTGTTCGAGGGTCCACAGCATTTCATACAGGCGTTTGGTTGGGTCGATCAGTTCTGTAGCAGTCCTTTCGCCAATAGTCGACAGACTTTGCTGTCTTCCTCATCTCAGTTGGCGGTCTGACGATTTTTGCCCAGCGACGTTCAACTGCCGCTGGTCAGAGATTAAACTGAAAAATCCTTTTTTGGTTTTCGCTGTCCCCAAAGACAGTCATGTGGGTTCCCTTCGTCCTTGACCGGGTTTTTGGGAGGATAGGGCGCAAATCACGCAGTGCTTGTGTGATGGCCAAAAGTTCAACACATGCTCAGTACGTTCCAATCATGTGAATCGCAGCAGGAGACCCTGATGGTGCCTGGAATTCACTTATGGTCAGCTGCCTGATAGCTGTGAAATCTTGGAACCAGGTCATTCTCGCGCCGGGTCACTTCGAAGTTCATGGGCCCTTGGCTTGTGGGTGGAAGAGAGGATAAGGAGAGAAAGGAATTTGTGAAGAGGAAAGAAGGTGTATGGCTGATCATAGAATATATTCGTCATAAGTCAAAAAACATTGGATTAAATTTCTATTTTATTTATTAATTTATTTATTTTTCTTTTTATATCTAACTAATTTTCTCTTTATTTAAGATTTTACTTTAACCTAACGCCTATATGGTTAATGAAATCGTGGCTACGTGACAATATATATATATATATATATATATATATATATATATATAATGTGTGTGTATATATATATATATATATATATATATATATATGTGTGTGTGTGTGTGTGTGCATGCGTTGCATTAAAAGTAAATTAAAACAAAGAAGGAAAAAAAAAAATTTTTAATTCAGAAATAGGATGGCATAGAAAAGTGAAAATTGCATTTTATATTAGTTAACTTCACTTACAATTTCTCATGTTCTGTTTAAAATGAATAGAGTTTTTTATTGTTAGTCAGTAGATTCTTACAAATGTTTTGCTTCTCTGATGAATCCAAATTCTCACTTTAAATTTATTTCCAATTTTCTTGAAGTGTTTGGGCCAAGTTCAACATGATACATTGTGTTTACTTCAACAAACAAAAGACCATTATTTTTAAAATCATTGATATTCCAGAAACATCACATTGACTTTTTTAAAACATGGTAAAACATTTCCAGAAGATACAAATCATTGCACCTAAATGAACAATACAAATATTATACATTGAGTTTCATGGCTACCTTTATAAAATTCACAAAACCTACATCTTTCTCTTCTGAATGGTTAAATGCTTTTTTTTTAATGCCATAAGTGCCATTGTCACAATATAGTCAAAAGTGACATTAAAACAATGTGTTCTCAATGCCATCTAATGACAAAAACAAAACATTTTTTACCATTCAATACAAATTAGCATTATTCCCTTTTGCAATTCCCTGCATCGATATTATGCCAACACTCTTGTGATTAGCAACACAACTACAGTTTGAAGAATATACATTTTACATTCAAACTAACAGCATATTAATAGTTTAATATTTTATATCTCTCAAAAGCAAGGCATAGTAATTTTTACTTATATAAAGATGAAAGTGATCATAAAATTTTTGCATATAATAATTATTTTGGTACCTATTGCTTCACTAACAGCAAGATGATCAAATTTCAAATGTGACTTGTTTTTTCCATCTACAATGTTAAACACAATATGCAAAAGTATTTTGACATGTTTTGCATATAGAGTTTTACATTAAAAACAAAAGGAAATAAGCAACATTTTCAATACTTTATATTTTTCATTTTAAAAATTGTATGCAAAAAAAAACAAACAGATTGTGTAATTTATGGCAATGGTTCTGCAAATGTGCGAACATGTTAAAATTGATTTGTGAGATTTTACGTTGGCAATTTCTTGCCAAACAACATTCAGGTAGACCAATTGATGCTGATAATGATCAAATGTAGACTTTTGTAGCAGAAGTCAGTTTTCATCTAAGGACAGTGATGTGTGTATATGGAGGGATTGGAAGGGATTCCTCTACTATGAGCTCTTCCCAGTAAACCAAATGATTGATTCAGACAAGTACTGCTCCTCATAAGAGTCAGTGAAAGCAGCAATCAATAAAAAGTGTCAAATGAAGGTGTAGTATTTTATCAGACTAATGCTAAGACTGACCACATGTTTCTTTGATGACATGACAAAAAATGTTAACGCTTAGCTGGAAAAGTTTTACTTATGAATTTTCATACTTACAATGGTATATTCAAAAATGGTGCTGGACCCAAGAAAAGATATGATGCAGAATAGAGAAAACATCCACAGATAATCAAGCAATTTGGTTGATTCTGAAAAGAGATTAATTAAAATATTTCACACTTTGATTAGACACAAAAATATTGCAAACTAAGGGTAATATTTAAAGTTTTTAAGTTGAAAATAATTCAAAATTTTAAAATGACTTATTGCAGTCTTTTAAAAATTCATGAATTTTACTCTACAAGGCAATAAAACTTATAGATTTTTCTAATATTGTTCTATGCACAAAACAAATATTGTAATGTTATGAAGAAAAAATATTTAAAGAAAAAATTATCTCTGTAAAATTGAGTATATATATATATATATATATATATATATATATATATATATATATGTATGTAACAGAGAATCAGGTCATTTTGATAAGAGACTCCAATGTTGGTTGCATGTGGTGCTGTAAGCATCAGGAGTTAGGTCCTCTTCCACAATGGGCTATTGAGAGAAGACCTTCTATTTAGAGTAGGTGGCACTATTTGCATATGAACGATACTGGGCAGCTATTAGCCAATAGTCAGTATGGGGCTGGGAGAGCTATATAACACCAACAACTGGATAGCGAAGCAAAATCTGATGTTGACTGGATAAAGATAGCCTTAGTTACAGCCTTTGCTACAGATTCATTCATGGCATACAAACAACTCATCGAGTACGGCAGATCCATGGATGCATATCTAACTGAATTGAAGAAACTCATGTTCTTGTTGGGCAGGATGAGTGACTGTATGCTGGCTTGCGCATTTATGCACGGGTTGCAGGTGATGTAAAGTGGACTCTTTGTGTGTCATCTAGTATAGACATGTTGTTTACTGATCAGCTGCTTGCCTGAGCCCAAGCAATTATGAGAGATGAGGAGATGAAGGTTTTTGTGGTGGCAGTGGTGGCCTAGCCAGTGCAAAGTATGGAAGTCCATGTCAGAAAGTGCTTTAGATGCAATGGCAAAAGATCGCTGGAGCCAAGAAAATGACAGGGGACAGGGTGAGGACAATGCCCTACCATGGGTCATGTGTCTCAAAACTGTTCTGGAAACATGAGAAGAGATATGGCAGTGACAGTATCTTCTTCAGCCTGGCACTACCTGTGATCAGTGTTCCGGTTGATGGCAGAACCGTTACCATGCTGGTTGATAGTGGCTGTTCCCAATTCATAATTATGTGGTTAGGCTCAAGGGCATTGATTCTGTACATGCAATCAAACCATATATATATATATATATATATATATATATATATATTTTTTATATATTTATTTTTAAGTACAAAATTTAATCACAGAAATAAAAGTGTGAAGCTTAATATTACTAGACATACTAAAAACAAAGCAACTGGTTTCGTTCCTGCTCCTGGGAGATTTAACTTAAATTAAAAACACAAGAAAATGTGCAATGAAAAGGAAATGGGGAGGAAAAAAATATGAACACAAGGAGCAAGAGACAAATAACAGCGAGCCCCAACAAACATTCATGCTGTTTACGCAGGGAAGGCTTGCAGTACCCGATATAAAGTGCCTCCAGCACCTTGAGGTGAAATAAAGAGTGCAACTGGGACAGAACAGTGAACCAGTCAACACTAAAATTAGCAGCACACCCTCTGTTATTTAAGAGGTGCTCACATATGGGGGAACCATAGGTATTTGGGATACGTCAATTCAATGACAAGGTGTGATTCCTGATCTTAGTGGGAATATGCTGTTTAATTCTCATGTCTAAGCGTTGAGTCGTTCTCCCTATGTAGTCAGCTCCATAACTACAAATGTATTTGTAAATAATAGAATTAATTTGATGAGGAGGAAGAACATCCTTACACCCAGAACGAAACATAGGCCAGGTTTGAAAAACTATCTGAACCTCAGCCAAGAAAAAACAATGACAAACATTAGATGAAACCTGTCTAACTATACTTTCACACTTGGATCCAAAACAGGGCACTTTTTAACAGGCTTCCTGTGAAAGCCTGAAGAGTGGGAGCGAAACCAGTTGCTTCATTTTTAGTATATCTAGTAATATTAAGCTTCACACTTTTTTTTCTGTGACAATTTCTCTGGACTGATATATTAGATTAACAGGACGAAGGGAATGCAAGAGAGAAGAAAGAAGAGGAAGAAAGAAAAATAACAGATTTACGAATATTAAATTATTTTTAAAGCATGAAATAGAGAAAGGGGAGAGAGTGGAAAGGCAGGGGCAGGGAAGAAGGAAGAAATGAAAGGATAGTAGTAAAACTAAAACAGAATGACCTGGCCAAGAATTTTTGTTCCTTAAAGGGTTGAAAGTTTGTACATCAGGTGATGTTGTATGTGATCAGATTTGAAAGAAATACAGCAAATTGATCAATATGGCCTGTTATTTTAGGCAGGACAAATCAACACAATTTTAAATTAGTTAGTCTAATAAAGATAACCTTAATAAAATAATAATAATAGTATCAAACATAAATTAATTATTTAAAATAAGTAAATTAAAAATTTTTTTAATAAAGAATAATAAAAGATAAAAAATAGAAATAAAAAATAGAAGTAAAATAATGTATAGATAATATATTAAAGGATGTTAATTTAGAATTATAGATGATGTATACAAGACAATCAAACATCTAACTACATATAAAAAAAGCACAAAAGTGCATGATAAACAATATATATATAAGAATACATTTACCCACATATGCACCCTTATAAAAAAAAAAATCAACATTTCAAGTGTATATCTCCCAAATTCAAAGTTTTTAGGGAATTTTCAAACTCCTTCCTATGTCTGCACTTGAAAATAAGTGTTTCTTTGATTCAACAACTGCAGCACATCTTGATTTATTATTTTTATAATGTTCTGTACTATACATTCATTGGAATTATCCTTAACAGTCACAAATTTGTTTATATATATATGTATGTATTAATTAATGAATATCAAACACTTAAATTAAATTTAATGATTTTTATTTCATGAAAGCTATAAAAATAGATTTCAATTGTTCAGACCTGCAAACCAAATATAAACGGAAAAAATTACTCCAGATCAAAATCAAGAAATGTGAATATCTTATTGAGGGAGTGGAAAAATAAAAAGATGTAAATTTATGATCATGTAAGGGCAGGGGTGTGGCTTTGAAATAATGTTAAGACCCTAGGATTTTTTAAGCAGACTTTAAGGTTTGTGGTGACCTAATTTAATATACTGATTTCAGGTTTAACTTGCTACATTAAAATGGCATTTAAGGAAGAGGGTGAATGAAAGTATTGTTGAGTCAATGGGAATTAGAAAAACACACCAGCCAAGATTCTGAGGCTGATATATTCAATTTAACAAACCATTTATATTAAAATATTTGATATATTCAATTTAACAAACCATTTATATTAAAATAGTGTTTGGTTAAGGACATTTTAAATAATATTCAGAATTTAGCAAAAGATTTAGAATTTAACATAAATTAGTATAAATTCTTAATATAATTATGCAAGAAATTTAAATTAAATTACCCAAGAGATTTGAATTAAATAATTATTAATTATTTAGATATTCGGAGAAACTTAGTATATCTTATTTATAAAGTATATTAAACAATAGTCCTAATATTCCATAACCTGAATGTATTTCTTAAAATTTAACAGGATACGAAAGTTCTTTAAACCAAAGTAAAATTCATGGGATCCAAATTAATTCTGTAGTGTATATCTATTAAATTTACAAGATTAGTTCAAAAAGTATCCGAATTCTCTATCTATAAAAGGCAGGATGTGTGTGTGTGTGTGTGTGTGTGTAATGAATGGACGGCCGCAATTTTCAATGGATTTGCACCAAAATGCACATGCTACAAGTTAGCGGGAAGGTCAAGACCAACTTTGCATTTCCCAACTCCCATCGATAGTGGAAATAATTGATTTTTTCATGCTTCTATGGCAGTTTTCATGTAGTTTGCGACCATTTTGTACTGGCCAGAGTGAGAGTCTATAGCTGGCTGCCATGAATAGGCAGGAAGATTCTATTGGCCAGCATGAGAGCCAACAGCTGACTGACACGATTGTTAACTAGCATGCAAAAAATATTGATAGCTGCATTCATCACAAGTGAGAAAAACTTAAATCTACATGGCACTTTACTCCAATTGGCTCATTCGCTTGCTTAAACTCAACATTGATTCTGATTCTGCAGAACTAGGTTGGATGTGAAGAAGTATTTGTTGTAAACATTCTTTTTTCATTCAGTTGTTCCAGTTACAAGTCCTTTTTTTAAAGCTGATCGTTTTGTGTTCATTTTGTTTAGTTCTTTTTTCGTAACAGATTTAATGTTTAGTTTAGAGCTTAGAAAAAATTTGCAGTGTGAGATGTAGCAACATCAACACAGCAAAGGGCACTCCTTTAAAGGCAAGAAAGGGCAAAAATATTTTAAATCAAGTGATAGTGATTGCTGTATGATGCTTTGAATCAAGCACAGGCAACGCAGGGCGATGCTGCTAGTTATATCTATATGAAACCTGTTTATATAGATTAACGTGTAGTACCTAATTTGGTCAAAAATATATTTCTTAACTGCTTTTCATTTTTAATATATACATTGTAATAATGACAGTTATAGTGGAAATATCATGAGACTAAAAAAGTAAACATAATAAATCCATTACATACATGGTTAACAACAATTCAAGTTAGCACTATATATTCACATATTCCCATATATACACACATACACATATATACCATCGATACACAAATTATAGATCTATAACCATATCTTCTTTCAACCATCCATACAGATAAATAGTATATCCTAAAATACAACCAACATACATGATGATGGACTCTATCACAACCTATTTTCTGACTAACACAATGTAAAATATATATCAGAAAAACAAAACTTAAAAATTACAATGCACAAAAAACAAAAAAAAAGCACACACCTGCTGTGTCAATGATAACAATGAAAAAAGGGGAAGAGCCTTAGCTCTTCAGTTACACTTTCAGTCCTTTCAAGGTTCAAAAGTTTTTATCTTTTTTTTCTTTTCTTCTTGTGTAGACAAAGTTCTTTTCTTGGTGACCAAACTTCCTTTATTCTTCTCTTATTTTCCTCCCATCTGCCTGGAAATAACGCCTTTCTTTTAAGGCCGCTAGAAGGTGAAAATTTACTTTAAACACATGGTAAAATACTTTTTGAAAATGCACGTGTTTGCTTCTTCTTCTCAAACGGCTTTATCTCCAAACTCCACTTATGGACTTCTTTTCAAACTTTCTTTTGTGGGACTTCTTCAAGAGCACTTCTCAAAACTTCCTCTGAAGGGGAAACTTGCCCTCAGCAACTTTGTTACCCATACATCCTTCACTTATGGACAAACACTGCCTGCTTTTTCAGCAGAGAGAGAGAAAATGAACCTCTTCTCTTTAAGCTGTCTCTTTTCCAACTGCTCTTTTTTTCTGGTTTTTCCCCAGTTCTCCCTTTCCTTTCAAAGTGGGGCAGTTCCCCTTTAAACCGTGCAATCACTGTCCATTAAAAAAAACAATCAGCAGGTTCTTTGGGCCAGTAACACAGTGAGTGTCTTTTGTTCTCCCTGACCTAAACATTTTCAAAGTGTCTTTCAGTTCAGTTTTTATGTTTAGTATGAGACAACAATCCTGTACAGGATTTGCAAACAAATCCACAAGAAAGGCATACTGAATGGTTGAGCATCATATGGGTTGATGTATTAGCCTGAGAATTAGTTTTAATTCTTAATTCTCTCAGATGGTTGAAATGATTCTTTTCAAAGTTTGTTATACCTCGGTAGCAGGTATTTCTCCAGCTTACTTGGTTTTCAACAGTAAGTTTGAATTCTTCTATAGGGATGTTTGAAGCATTTAAATTGCATTTGTGTTTGTCCTTGAAGTGTAACGAAGGACAGCCTACACTACGCTTACCATGAAAAAGTTGGCTATACAAAAGGATTTTCGGCATCCGATCATCACTCATTCTGATGACATCGCCAGCCCATCTGAACTGAGATTGCATCAGAAAGGATTCAATACCACCGACACCACATTTGAAGAAAAGATCAGGGTTAGAGATTTTGTCCTGCCGTTTATAACCGCATATTAAACGAAGACAGCGTTTATGAAAAGCATCAAGTTGATTGAGATCTATCCTGTATAGTGTCCACAATTCTGAGACATAAAGAAGCGTGGTGAGAATGATTACTTGGCAAACACTGATTTTCGTTTTCAGTGAAATCCCATGAACATCCCACAGGTGATACTTAAGCTCCCCAAAGGCATTGGTTGCCTTTGATATTTGGTTAACTATTTCGTCATCCAAAGAGGCACTTGAATTGACTTTGCTTCCTAAACATGAGAATGATTTCACATACTTCAGGTTGTTGCTGCTAACAGTAATGGGAATAATTGGAAAAGTATTGGCAGGTGGTTTTTGTTTTACACTCTTGACCTGCTTAGCTGTAGGCCTTGGTTGATGGACAACTTGAGTTTTCTTTGGGCTTATAGTTAATCTGAATGCATTGCAAGTGGTGAAAAAATGATTGATGAGTGCTTGAACTTCTTCAATTGAGGTGGCCATGATCGCAGCGTCACTGGCAAATAAAAGATCACAAATAATGCTTGCTTGAGCCAGCGACTTTGATTTAAAACATTGATGGTAGCCATTTGTGCAGAATTCAAATTTCACACCCATGTCAAGATCACTAAAAGTATGGTGTAGCATGACCAAAAAGAAAAGAGTGAAAAGAACAGGAGCCATGACACAACGTTGTTTTGTGTCATTTCTTACATCAAAGGTTTCTGAAAACTCTCCATTAGATAAAACAGATACTTTTTGTGGTGAACAGCCCCGTAGAAGCAAGCGAGCCAAAGTGGCTTGCATCTGATGTATAGGAAAATAAGGGTCTTACCTTAACGTGCGGCACGTGACATCAGCAAGTTTGCTTCGTGAAAATGGCATTACTCTCCTGTCCAGCCATTCTAGCAGTATGCGCAATGATGAGGGTTTTTTGCACAGTTCGGAATGCTTCCACCAATAGCAAGTCGTGTGCTGATTGGTTGAACTGGAGGAGGCAATTTGCTTGTGTAACCGAGAATAACAGTGAAGAACGCTGATTGGCTGGGGAACCGTGGTGTTGGCCTGATAAAAGAGTGCTCGGGCCATTATGACCGATAGCAAAGAGCCAGATGAGTCAGTTGCCGACGGTAAGGCACTAAAATGCCGTGGACAGGGCAATGGAATTTGTCGGCCCAACCTGTGTACATTGGCCCTAATTGTGGACCCCCCCCTACTTGGGTTCGATCTTCTTGGGATTGACGCAATTAAAGAATTAGGAGGAGTGCACATCAATTCCTCGGGAGAAGTTCAATTTTCTGAAGAAGAAAGTAAGCCCCAATGTGCTGCTATTTCTATCATTGAACCAGCGATATTGTGATTTGTACAAGTGACAGTTGTGAGAGCAATAGACTTATTTAAGCTACAAGCTATTTCGGCTTTTTCTCTAACCATGGCGGACAGAAGTTTCGATATCAGGCTGATACCTGAATTCAGTGGAGCTGCTACCAATTGTAGAATGGATTGAAAATGTGGAGTTGGTTTGTGAACTTTGCGAGATGAAGAAAGTCGAGTGGGTATTGCCACTGCGCTTGCGAGCCGGTGCTCTTTCTGTATATCGGCAACTGACAAAGGAGCAGAGGTCA